GGTTGCCTCTGAAAAACCCTGCTTCTAAATCAGGCTGTACAGCTGCTTCTCAGTGTCCACAGGGGCTGGTCCAGGACCCCCTCGAAAACCCAGATCCTCGGACTGCAAGTGCCTTATATAAAGTAGCATAGTATTTGCATATAACCCATACACTTCCTCCATCATACTTTCAATCATCTTTAGACGACTTATGAAATTTCATGCAATTTAAGTGCCCTGTGAACAGAATAGTTGTTATACTGTATCTTGCGGGAAATAATGACAAAAAAGTCTTATGTATTTGGTCCAAGTGCAATTATTTTTTTAAAAAGTTTTGATCCAAGGTTGGTTGAATCTGGAGGTTCAGACACAGAGATAGCAAGGTCTGGCTGGGTCTGAGGGACTGGGGATTAGGGTGTGAACTTGTCTTCTTGGGGGACATAATTCCATCCAATACAGGGAACAACCAACTTAGATACTCCCCTACAATGAGCACACGTATGAACCCAGTACAGAATCCAGCTTTTAGAAAGTATCTTTGCACAAGTAGGTCACAGTGCAGCTGCCCAGTTGGAATGCATTTTTACATCTTCCGGTGCCTTTAAATGCAGGCGTGAAAAGGGCAGGAGACTGCAGCACTGGGCTGTGGATGCAGTCTGAGACAGTGTCCTAAGGAACTTGGAGTGATCCTTCGGCCACAATAAAAATGGTCCACTCTTTGGAGACTCACTGGGCACAGAAGGGAAAACTCAGACAGGGGACTCACAGTACCCTGACCGGCACCCTCAGAGGCCACATCAGCCAGAAGCCCCAGGTGGCCGGCAGTGTGGTGCTTTGTGGCGAGGGTGGTGCAGGACCTCAGGGGGTCAAAACCCACAATGGGTCCCGGGACACGTCCATTCACACTGGCCCTGTGCTGTAAGCCTGCGGCAGACAGGAGCTGGAAACTCACCTCGACAGCGAGACAAGGTCACCTCAGCCAGCATTAGCGGGCTCCATCCAAGTGCTTCCAAAGGTCCTACAGCTTTACAGCGAAAAAGGACCATGGTCAAAATGCACTTTGGGATGCAGGCAAGATGAACTCGAAGGATGGTCAGCTGATCCATCCCCATTAAAGTACGAGAACCGTGCCGGGAGCCCTGGAAATTACACCTGCCCAGTCTAATAAAAACAATGCAGTAAAATAAAAGCAAATGTCCGCTGTGACTCTTGCTCCTACGGTGCTGGAGACGGAACTCGGGTCTTCACCGCTGCGAACAGGGAGACGGTGGAGGTCTGATGGCAACAGTGACCAGAATGCTGTGAGTCCAGAGTGTCAGGTGAAAGTCTGTGAGCCAGATGGTGCTCTGGGAGCCCGGTCCTCCTCCTGGACATGTTTCCAGGCCTGGCTTTCAACATTCTTGGAAAAAATAGTTTTGAAAAACATCAATGAAGATGACCGACAAGGAGAGTTGTTTCTTGGCAAGCTAGTTGTGGAGAAACTATAGAGTTCTAGGTTGTTGGGGTTTTGGTTTTTGTTTTTGTCTGTAAAGATCACGCCTTAATGTGCTTAAAAGCATTTTTAAAGTTAGTTTCTTGGGCAGACCGTGTTCCCTTCATTTAAAGGCCTTGGTTCAGGGCAGGATGTAAACATGGTTAGGATTTCAAATAAGGCAGATTGAGAACAGCCAGAGGGAGAAGCAAGTTGCTACGGAAACGAGCAGCCAGTGGAACACAGCCGCCCCGAGTCACCGAAGGGCGGGGAGCGCCCAGCGGGGGCAGTGGCCTGGCCTGCCTGAGCTGTTCCATCCGGAAGGAAACCCAGGTGCTTCTCAAGGCGCCCGGACTGAGAGCGCAAACTCAGGGCTGGGGCCTCACTGACCCGACGCGTCTGTTTCCGGTTGTCAGTTCGCCCCACCAACACGGCATATTGAGCGCCTCTGTGCGCCAGACCCTGAGCTGGCCCTGGGGCTGCTAATGAAATTCCCAGTTAGCTCCCCAGCCCTTCCTTACCTCGGCCTCCAGCAAACCCTGCTCTCCTTCCACCTCCACAGATTTGCTGCTTCTGCACATTTTAACCAAAGAGACTCATGCAGTATTCGGTGCTTTGCACCTGGCTTCTTTTACATGGCGCTGTGTTTCCATAGTCTGTTTTGTAGCATGCGTTAGTCCTGCAATTGTTTTCATAGCTGGACAGTATCTCATTGTGTGACTCTACCACACTGCGTGTATCCATCCAGTAGCTGCTAGTCATCTGGGCTGTTTCTACCTTTTTTCAGCCATGGATGCTGCCCCAAACATTCGTGCACAGACTTTTGAACCCGCATGGTCAGTCCTGCAGGGTGTGTGCTGGGAGTGGAGCTCCTGGTTGCAGGGTAACTGTTTGTCTGGGTGAGGACTGGCCCTTTGAGCAGACACAAAATTAAAAAGCTGGTGACCCCGCTGACCTCCGACCATACCCTGTCCTTCCAGTTCACAACACAACACCCCAGAGGAGGACCTGAGGTCTCAGAGGGAATGGAGATTGTTAATTGTGATCACCCCGCCTCATAGTGACTCCTTGTTCACAGGAGCGAATATTCAACAAGCATCTGCCGGGCTCCTGCCGAGTGCGGGATTCTGTGTCAGACTCTGGGGGCGCTGTGAAGACACCCCTCACAGAGCTGTGAGGAGATGGGGCTGCAAGTCAGGTGCGCAATGTTCCCGGCGACTCTCCCTTTGTCATTTCGCCTCCTTGGTAGCACTGAGGTTGTGAACACAGGAGGGTCTGTGATGATCTATCAGTGTCTATTCTACCCCGGGGCAGGGCCAAGGACTGTTGGCCCCAGTGTCGTCTCTTATGCCAGTACCCGGCCTGGAACAGATGCTCAGTAACCTCAGCTGTCCAGGGTGTGAAGAAAGTTGGGGGAGGCTGGCGGGGCTGCCCCTCTCTGTGCTGGGCCGAGAGGCCTTTCCTTCCCGAGTCTCTGCCACGTCCTGCTGTCTTGTCTGAGCTAAGTCTGATTGGTGTGTGACTCAGGAAGGCTTGTTCAGCTCACAGCTCACAAGCTCTCTCATTTCCAACACAAATTGTGATGGGAGAAACACTCAGTTTAAGTTTACTTTTTATGGAAACAAAATTTCAAAACATTCACTGCAGAACTATGTTAATTTCAATTATTGACATTCACCAGTAATTAAGTCAAATGATATATAAGCCGGGAAGCCTCTTGTGCCATCGGCTTATGAGAAAACTTGGAAAGAAAACAGTAAAGTCTGTTTCTCGGTGGTTTCTTAATCTCCAGGAGCTGAGGGAGTGCTATTCTGGGTGCCTCAGATGAGCTGTCACCCCTTACTTCAGGGACCCCGCAAAGTAAATGAAGAAAAAATGGTCAGTCACTGGGGAACCTTGTCAAAGGTTTTGTGTTTTGGCCTCAGTTCCGTTTTGTAGCTGAACTGTTGCGCAGCAAGGCCGTCAGCTGACTCAGGAGACCAGAAGTTTCTCAGAGGACCTTGGGTGGTTTCCTTCTGCTTGGAGGTAGAACACGAAAGCAGTTGAGCTGGAGGAAGTGGTGGTAGCAGACCCTGATCGAGAGTTTACTTGTGCTCCACGCACTGTTAAGTGCTTCTGACCTACCCATGTACGCATCCTGAAAACCTCAGGTGTTCTAGATCAGGTGGGAGAGACTGGAGAGGGTAAGTGATTTGCCTGAGTGGTGCAGGAGAAAGCCTTGAACCCCATTGGTTTGATTCTGGATTCCGTGCCCCACTTCTTCCCACCTCGGCTCTTGACTGTAGATTTAAAGGGGGAAAGCATCAAATGTGTGTCCAATTGTTTTAAATAAAATGCACAGGAGAAAGGCAGCCCAACCTTCAGACAGCCCCAAGGAAACTGTCCTTGCCTGAAAGCTCAGTTTCTGAGGGAGTTAAGTTTCCCCCTGTGATGACTGCTGCATTTTATCCTGCTCCTCTTGTATAGAAGTATTTGTAGGAAGTACCAGGCAAGGCTGGTCTGCGTTCAGCCATGCATTCTTGGCTGCTCTGGAAACGGCACTGCAAAGACTCAAGGGACCTTGCAGGCCCTTCCAAGTCTTCCTGGGGAAAGGTCTGGGGTCTAAAAGCTCACAACTCACACGTCTCCCTCCTGAGGATGGCGGCCATGGGGAGGCCCTGTGAGAAGGACCATGTGAGCCAGCACTGAAGGAGTACGGTGGCCCATCTGATCCATTCACGGTACGCTCAGGAGGACTTCATGCTGCTGTTCTCTCCTCTGGAGTGGGTCTTCCCCATGTCTTGACTAAGGAATACACTCCAGTGGCTTGGTCCATTTGTGTGACACCCTGGGTCACCTGCTGACCTGGTGGCTTTAGGCAGTCATTTCTCCTCTCTCTGCCTTTGTTCTCTCATGTGTTCAGTAAGAATAACACTGTTCTGTAGAGAAGTAAATGGGCAACTCTACGCAGAGCTTAGTTCTGGTCTGGCACCTAGTGGAGCCCAGCAAGTACTGTCATTGTGAATCCACTGGGCCCCTCTAAGGTTTCATTAAATAAAGCCAAAGGTCTGCTGGAGACCAGGTCATACTGTGAAGCCAAACAGCACTGTTTGAAAACCCCTGCCAAGGCCTCCTGACGACCTGCCTATTAGTTCAGCAGAGTGGTCCCCAGAGTCCCAGAGACCAGTCCTTCGAGGGTGACATGAGTGTTGGTACAAATGCCACTGACACTCACAGCCAGCTCTTAAGACAGGTGCAGTCCCAACCTGGCTTTGTGTTTAAAACCCCTGTAGACATCGGCACCCGGGAGAAGAGACAGAAGCTCAGCCCTGCACACAGGGTCGGGAGGCTGCACAGGCAGCGCGGGAGAGGGGCCACAGGAGCTGCATCTGAGCCCGTGACTGAGGTCTCCGGTGGGGTGGCTCATTTGCCCCGATCCCTCCCCGGTAGGCACCCGACTTCATTACAGGAGTCTGTCAAGGACCTGGCTTTCCGCAAAGGTCTAGCAGACGCACACCAGAAGCCTCGTTCTCTGGTGGACCCCGGCTTACCAGTGAGGAGGACCACGTGGTTCAGATGACAGAGTACAAAATGAGGATCTCAAGGTTTATTAATTACATCAGATGCAGAATCACAGTGCTGGCTTAAAACAAATTAGCCATTTAAAAACCTTTAAACCAGAAAGAAAGTGATTTGTAAAACTTCAGAGAAAGAAACTAATGCAGGCAAGGGCGGTGTCTGAAAGTCCCGTCCAGGAACCTTCACGCAGACGTCCCACTGCCATGACACGCTTCTATCTCAGTCTCACCACAGCGACAGAGGCGCAGCCTGGGAGACAGCGATCACTTCTGGAAGGAAATCGGAGAGGCCGGGAGCTGCGAGTTTCCTGCAGGGGCGCAGGGCGCTGACACAGGCGACCTCACTCCGCTGCGAAGGGAGCCCAGGCGCCTTCCCCTCTGCTTTCACCTTGAAGAGAACACAAGGCGCTCAGGGCCACTCGCTCGCTCACAGGGAGGCAGGACCGCGCTAAGCTCAGCCATGCGCTCCCATCGGCGCCTTGAGCAACAGAGTTGGACACCACTGCTTTCTCAAGGGAACTCTCCTCCCAGCTTTTCCTAAACCCCCCTGACCTGGAAGAATGATGCCAGGGATCTGGAAATCGGCAGCAACGCTGGTCGCTGGTGCTGGGGGCTGCGGAGTGTTGCTAGAGCCTGACAATGCCCAACAATGGCAAGAACACAGAGGGCTTTGATTTCAGGTATTCATTACTCACACCCCAGGGGCCGTGGGGGGCGAGGAGGGTCACAGGGGTTGCCAAGCATGGAAGCTGGCAGCAGCGAGTTTGTGGAAAACCAGACCTTTGCCTCACAGCGCTGCCAGCGGGTCAGCCTCTAGTGCCAGTCGCCTGCGGAGTGCTACGGTTCAAACCCCAGAAAGCATGTCGTAGGTTAAAAAAGAACCCCAGAGTCCAGTGAAATTGCAACATGGACCAAACAGATCGATGTCATGAAGTCACCGGAACTGAAACCATAGCAACACGACCGTTGCTAGGTGGGCACCTGCCAGAGCAGACCAGAAAACCACCGAAGAAAAGAAAATGGACCGGGAGGATGACAGCGAGTACTGAGAAAAACGAAGGTCTGCGTGTCCAAAGAGGAGAGGAAACGGAGGGCGTGTGCAAACATCCTCGCAAAAGTGAGAGCTGCATTATTTCAAAAATTAAATGGGAAATAAAATACATCAGATAATTTTCTTGAAAAATGACATCCCCAAAAGCAACACTGGATTTGTTTTTCGTGCATTCTAAGTTCTAGATCACAACTGGGATTCCATTACCCGGATTCGCTCTCTCATGTAAGTTGTAAAGGACTGGCAGGGTGGCCGTGTTTTCAGTGTGGCGGGAGCCCGTGTCCGTTACCAGCTGCTGCTTCTTGCTCACAGCGGAGCAAGACACTGACAGCCGTCTCCGGTGAGCCCAGGGCCTTCTTCCACAGGATGGCCCACCTGCCTGCGCTGTGTCAACAGAGCTTTATCCTCTCCCCAGGGTTCAGCTGTCCTTGAGTCTTACTTCTCTTGGAAGCTTTTGACTTTGGACTCTTGAAATGCTTGTGAAGGGAGAGATGCTGATTTCCTACTCCGGGACCCATGTGCTGATACTGACCTGGGGATACTTTACCCACTCACTGCCCCTTACCCCAGCACCCGGATCAGGAGGCGGCCTGCGTCCCGGTCTCCACTGTAGAGTCCTCTGGTGCCTCTCTGGATGTCAGGGTGATGACTTCTCCCTTGTAGGGCGCCCGCTCCACGGGGGTGGGTGTGCAAGTCTGAAACAGAGCACATTTCAATTCTCTCTGTGGGTTACTGACTGCTTGAACTCACAGCTAAGGACAGCTCCCTTTATGAATTGCGACAGAGAGAAGAAAAGAAAAACAAACATGAATTCATTGTGTGCCAACTGCACTGTCTCCTCTCCCAGGACTTCGGAGGGACCTGGTGTCTCTGGGTTTTCCTCTGTGCAGGTACTGATCTATATCTGACAAGGTGTAGGGGTCTCATCAGGGCCTCTGCCTGGGTCTGCTGACCACCTCCTCCAGCCCTTCCAGCCTTCTACCTTTCCTCCTGGCCTCCATCCTAGCTGGCCACTTTCTCAGAGTGCTTTGCTCTCCCAGCGTTTTGCCACAGGTTACAGCAATTTGCATGTGTGTCGCTCTCCTGGTGGCCTCTGCCTTGGGCCTTCTGCAGAATCTCACCTCCTTAGGGGTCCACTTGGAGGCAGGATCCTCCACTGGACTCAGCAGGAGTTAACTCAGAGCTTGGGTAGACTCGAAAAGCAAAGGGGTACACAGACAGTAACTGAACCATGTGCCTGTGAACTGATCGGCAGCCAGAGGCAGCACCTCCGGGGGTCGGCAGCCTGGGCTGTGCAGCCGGGTCTCCTCCCTGGCATGTGCTCCAGCTCCAGTAGCTGTAAACTGGGTAAGAAAAAGCCTACAGTACAGGGCTATTAGGCGGATCAGATGTGGGGAGGATCACGGAGTATAGGAGAGCATCTAGCATCACACCTGATTCAGACCAGCTCTTCATAAACCGTAACACAAACCCACACTTACGTGCACACAAATAACAAGCAGTCATGGGGCTCATTCTGCCCACTCTGACTACCAGACTGCAGCGACCCACGGCGTGGGCTTGGAGCAAGGCCGAGCTGCCTGGCTGTCTCTCTTCACACTACCCATCCTGTGTCTCCAACCCAGCTGGCCAGGTCCTGTCCACACAGTGTCACGGACCATCTGCCTTGGAGGCCCAGGGGTCAGGGCTGGTTGCAAGAATGACCGCAAGACATTGTCCACCCTGCCACATGGCCACACAGCAACAAACCCACCTTCTCTCTGATCTTTTGCTGTCCTGCCTCCATGCCGCCCTGCTTTGAGAAGAAGCTGACAGGAACCAAGGACATATAAGGCCTAGGCTCAAGCCTTGCAGCACCTTTAACTTTTCACCGTTTGTTCGTCCTTGGAGGTGGGTGGCACAGGCCCTGTGGGCCCCCACCTTACTCATCTCCAAACCCCCTTACCCCCTGGCACTGTCCTCTGGCTGTTTCAGAACTACAGTAGGTAGGTGCTGTGACAGGTGGGAGGTGATGGCTGTCCTCTGCAGAATCCTAAACAGCCATGGCTGTTTTTGCTCTGTACACATTTGTGTTTGAAGTAGCATTAACCTACCACTCTTAGAAAAAGGAGTCTTGTCCCTTCTCTCTAGCAACAAGGGTGGGTTTCCAGATGAAGTGTGACATGCCCGGTGTGACCTGGCACCGGCCTACATTGGGGCCAACGTTCGATGCCCAGGGCTCGCACTGACAGTCTGCCAGCCAACATAAAGTGGGTTTCTTTCTCAAGCGCCCCCAGTACCTATGACGGCCACATACACTGTCCCAATTCCACCAGCTGAAAGCATTCTTAGCACTTAGAGGACATTTATGCAGCACAGAGCAGAAAAACCAGGATGAAGAATCAGGCAGGTCTGGGTTTAAGAGTAAGCGGGTTTCTCCTCTTGCCTCCTGAGACTCTTGTGGCTTGGATGGGAATGTCCCGCAGAGCCTCGGGGCTCACAGGTGTAGGTGGGGCTTGTGGAAGGAGAATGGATCGTGATGGGGGTGACAGCTGACTTGCTCTCTGGAGGCGGGGCCTGGTAGGAAGAGGCGGTCACCGTGGGCGTGACCCGGAAGGATGCATCTTCCTCTCCAGCTCCTCCCTGTCTCCCTGCTTCCTGTCTGCTGAGATGTAAGCAGCTCTCTTCTGTCAGGCCCTCCACCATGCTGCCTTGGAGGTGGCCAACTATGAAAGCATGGTAACCATGAGCCAAAACACACCTGTCCTGCTGTAAGTTGTTGGTGTTAGGGGACATGTCTCAGTGACGAGGAACACAACACTCTGTGTTCTCCTGATTTCTGCCTCTCTGGTCAGCTGTCTCTGCGCTTTTGCTGGTTTCCACCTCCTCGAGTTTGGGCCACCCCGAGCTCCATCTGAAGGCCCCTTTCTCCTCTCACAGTCTTCGTGGTGGCCCCAGATGAGGGGTTTTACATCTATGCATGAGGATTCCCCACTTGATCTTTAGTCTTGATCTCATCCTATACTCAGATTCCTCTATCTCAGAAGCTAATTGAATTCATCACTGAGGTACAAACATGTGTCAAGCAGAACTAAGGCACAAGCACCAGGAGGAACCAGAGCTGAAACATGCTGAGCCTAAGGCCTTAGAGATCAGGGGCTGTTATGTTACTAGTGTCTACATCCTTAGCACCCTGAATCGTACCTGATACACAACAGACATTTGTAAAATGTATGTGCTACTGAGGGTAACATTATTTAAGAGTATTGAGAATTCCTCAAAGAGGACCTCAAGACACTAATGTCCCAAGAATGCACCTTCAGGAGGCCTGTCTGGGCTACTGCATTCCTCCCATTCCCTGACACGGTAGTCAGGATTAGCTGATGCACCTTCATAATAATGGCTTCCTTTGGGATGGGATGGAGGTCAAGTAAGATAGGTTGAGGGTCGAACTGCATGCAAGCCTGTTCCAATGTGGAAGGGACAGGCAGCAGCTCCCTTTATGGGACACTGGTCCATTAATTACTTTAGCAGATGAAAGTTCAATTCAAGTTCATAGTCCTTAATGATGACTGTCATTGTGATGAGTTAATAGACACGAATGAGACTTATGTCATATGCGGCACTATGAATAAACATTAATTGCAATCATCATTAGAGCTGCATAATTGCAGAAATGCTTTTGGTTAGCTGATCAGGGGAAGAGGAAGCTGTACACTGATAGAAAATTTAACTATATTGTCTGCCAAGAGGGGAGTGCTGGGATGCTAGATTTTCTAAAAATAGTAAGACTTATACAGAAAATCCACAGAGCCTCAGGGAGCTACTGACACAAGGCTGCCCATGGGGGCCAAGACACGAAAACACCAATAAAGACAGCTGCTCTTCCACAGTCCAAACAGCAGGCACTGGCCTGACATCCAATAGCTCAAATAAACGGAGGCTTCTTGAGATGAACTTCGTGCCTGGCTGGGATTTCCAAGGCTCCCAGTCCTTTGAGGTAGGCAACCTGGCTGTGAGCTCCAGATGGCCACTTAGAATCTATGTGGTCTCCATGAGCCTCAGGTTCTGAATTGATAAAACAGGAATGGCCTGGTTATCTCCCAGGATTATTGTAAGAATTAAACTATGTCTGAAACCTAACTGGCAATCAATAAGTATTGATGGAATAAATTTTGAATGACTAGCTAAAGCATAAAAAGAAAGTACAGGTTGAGTATTCCTTTCTCTAAATGTTTGAGATGAGAAGTATTTCGGATTTGGGAGATTTTCAGACTTCAGGATATTTGCATACTAGTTAAGCATCCTTAGTCTGAAAATCTGACTCTGAAATGTTCCCAAGCATTGTTTCAGCTCTAATACTGTTTCAGATTTCAGATTTCAACTTAGGGCTGTTCAACTTGTACTGAGAAAGGGTCCGCTACTCAGCGGGACATAAGGATAGGAACAACCAGGTTACTCTGCCTTTTCTCTCCCGCTTCAAGGTCCTGGCTTACAGCACTGGCCTACACTTCTGTAGTGTGAATACCCCCACTCTGTCTGATGTCCAGCGACCAGACGCTGTGACATTGCTGCAGGGTCCCGGGCAGACCGGCACACACGTGTCACTACTAAGCCAAAGCGAGCCAGCCTGAGTCTAGTCTTTGCCTTCTCTTATGATTAGCAATCAATCTGGGGAAATTAGGACTCCAGTGGCAGCCAATGACACATCTTAAATTACTTTCTCTGAGGCACCACCTTGAGAAGGACATTGACAAACGGTTATTTCAGAAATAGAAAATGCCCATCTCAAGGACCAAGCCAGCCACCCACTCAGTTTTATCTTATCTATGAGACAAATTATGCTTATCATCGCAAAGACACAGCGCAGTTTCAAAGCTCTGGCAGCAGTGCTCTGAAACCATATACCGCTCCTAGAGGCTCTTCCTGGTCTCTGTAAACTGCAGTATGACCGGTATTTTCCAGAAAATGTTGCAGTTGCTTATTGCTGAAAAAAGAGAACAAGAGACGACTTACAGAATAACTTAAAGAAAGTCCATTCTTTGGAATTTTGGAGGAAATCCTTATATCATAAGCATACAAATATTCCATAAATGCAGTCTACCTGTACGTGAGGTGCTATACACTGTTTGAAAAAGAATGAACAGCACGTAATTTTGTTCTTTCAGGAATTTTGTGAGATATCCAAGTGGTTGTTCCTTTTTTCCTTCCCTTTTATATCTCTTTATTTTCCTCTAACACTCTTCCTTAAAAGATTAAAATGTTTCATCAGGTAATAGTTATTAAATAAGGCCCAATGTGTCATCCTCTGATTTAAAGTTTTTCCCTTAAGGAGCCACTGGCTAAATTTTACAATAAATAACAATTTCCCAGCCTATCAAATTGGATAAAAACATCTCTTTTTTCTTTTGAAGTGCCTCATAACATCCAGTGACAGCGATGGCTGCGTGGCCCGATGCTGTTAGATTTACGAAGTAATAAAATCCTGGGCAAGAACCATGCTCACAGATAACCCCACTATTTGAGATAGGGGAGGAGGCAATCTTCTGGATACATTTATTTGATTTTCCTTCTGTGCTCCTCTGAAACGATTGCCTGTATTCCTCTGATTTCCAGTTCAGGTTCAGGATCCTTTTACATGCTTGCCATGCACCAAGGATCAGTGCAGGAAAGTCAGATGCTGTCCTAACAGCTCCGAGACTCTGGCCAGGAGACCAGCTGAGATCCAGCACTGCAAATGCTGCAAATGCAGTGCTAGAACCTGTGCTTCAGGAGTTCGAATGTGAAGAATGGAATTTCCTTGGTGGGGATCAGAGGTGAGCAGGAGAAACATGGCCCTTCCTGCCCGCCTTCAAATGCTTATCCACCTCACAAAGACATCTGAGCTTATTTGTTTGTCTGCTACATGCTGGTATGAGCTCAAGCCTGTGTGCATGCTAAGCAAATACTTTACCACTGAGCTGTACCTGCAGCCCAAGAAATCTGAGCAACTCAGAAGGAAACCTAAGAAAATGCTCTGTGAACATAAATCTTGTACTCATGCAGAGATATTTTAATTCTATAAATCACTGTCTAACTCAGTAGGTACGAAGGGTCTAAAATATCCTCAGGCAATCCCTAAATTTCACTTCATTTTAGCCTCTTTATTTTACATTTTCAACATGATGGTTTGGGTTTCAAGAAAATTTTCTTCTCTTTTCTTGTTTCTACAGAAGTTCCATGGTATGGGGGAATCAGAAAGATCTACCACAAATCCTGGCTCATATACCTACTTTTTAGCCCAAGGAAATTAATTAATGTTGAGACTCAGCCTTTTAGTTTGTAAATTAAGAATCCTAGTAACTACCATGTGGCTGTGTGTCATATTTCATGGTAATATCTACCATCTGTTCTGCCCTGCCCAAGTGACCATAAACTACATAATTCAGGACTTAGGGGGAAGGCAGTAAACTCTCAGAACATTTGATAAGTTATAATTATTATTTATCGTTTTTAAATGCACTAAAATGCCTAAAAATTTATCAGAGGAAAATATTACAAAATTAAAATAATTCCAAATTGATAGTCGGCACATAAAAAATAGAGTTGACATCAACTTTGCCAACAAAACACAAAACAGTCTGAAACAGAACTGGTGAGAGCAGTCACTGAGTGATCTCCGTGGCTCGAAACGTTTTCCCTACCAGAAGATGACGTGGGCCAATGCAGTCATTGAAATCCAGCCCATCTCGGTTTCCAGTTAGTCTAGCGCCCCTGCTGGCAGATGGCCAGAACTGACCGTCATGAGCCACCCTCGCTCCCTTTCAAGTGCGAATATCTTCTACCCAGTTCTAAGGATGGTATCGCCTTACGATTTCCCAGGTGCATCCTTTCTATCCATTCCCGGGCTGTCATCAGTGCCTCCAATTCAGATTAAAGTTTTGAAAGACTCTTTTCCAAAACTAATGCTGAGTGATTTCTCTCAGTACCTCATTCAACTTGTTCTTTACAGACTACTGTAGAGCTGATTGCTCAGGCATGCACTTCCGGGAGTCAGACAGCCGGGGTTATGCTCTGGGCTGCCATAGCCTCTGTGTGTGACGGAGACAAGTTGGTTAATTTCTCGAAGCTTCAGTGTCCCAATCTTTAAAATGAGGGAGGTGCCCCTCCTTCCCTTGCAGGGTCGCTGGGACAGGGCCCTTGGCAAGAAGCCTTGCCTTCAGTACGTGCTCGTTACTGGTCAGAACTGCTGCTGTTCACCACTCAGGGGTTCGGAAACACCTAGAATCCTCACAGGCTCCACCCACTGGTCACCTGACCTGTCAGTATTTATAAATGAGCCCCACAGGAAAAGGAGCTGTCACCGCCCACAGCATCGATGTTGACAGAAACTCATTCTATAAAGAGTTGCAGTGCGGAACTGAAAGCATTCTAGAGCACTCGTTTATCCAATCAAAGCCTTTGGAAGCACTCGTTTATCCAATCAAAGCCTTTGGAAGCACTTGTTTATCCAATCAAAGCCTTTGGAAGCAATGAAAAGGGGAGAAACCTTGTGTAATGGATTCTGAGACTCCACAAGCAAAACGAGAGTCACAGAACGTTAGAACAGAAAACAAAGAGCTGTTGGAGCGAAGTGCAATGGATCGAAACACAGCCGGAGGACTGGGGAGCAGGCAATGAACACTCGAAAATCAAGAAGGACAGAGGCTTTGGAGGGACTCTGAGGGTGACGGAGGGGCAGATCTTGGTGGCCCCTGGAGGGGCGCAGGGAATCCTGCTGGAGAAACCAGCCATCTCCCCTGCTGAGGCCCAGCCTGGCGATTCTGCTGTTTTCTGGGGTGATGCCACAGTGCTGCCTCCCCATTCTAAAATTCAAACCTCCAAAGAATGTTTAAGGGGAAAGGTTCCATATTTTGGTGTAGTTAATAGAGTGAAATGTAAAAACTATTTTAAAAACCTGTAAACCGAAGCAAACGTTTGTGAAATCTCAAGATGAACTGCAAGTTTGTATCTCTTTTATGCCACAGTTATTCCAAAGGTTCGAGGCTCGGTGCCGACAGTGGTGGGAACGGGAAGCAGAGGCGGCGCTGTTACCGACGCCCTTCCGGGCCTCCCGTCCTCTGAATCTCACCCGAGTCTCAGGATGTGTTAAGAGAAAATGTTTCCATTATCCATGAGGAATCTGAGCCCAGGGAGGATTGCTCTGAGCCCCGGCTAGGACGGAAGCCAAGGTAGAATCCGAGTTTGCATCTACTGACTTCCTCCACCGCTGGCCGGTGGTCACGGGATGCAGCGCGCAGTCCTTCCTCAAGGGCACCCCACTCTTCAAAGGACCCAGACGCGGCTCTGGACCCACGGGGCCTGCACCAGGGCCACAACCCCGGCAGTTGCTCCAGCCAATGAATGTGCGCCACCTGCAGCTGGCTGACAGGAGACTTGGGCAGGAGTCTCAAAAGGTCTGGCTCACGGTCCCCCACCCCGGTCTGTTTGGGTCTACCGTCCCTCTCCTCCACGTTTTCTTTCCTTCCTGGGGTCACACTCGAGTGGCCCTCTGGAGATCCTCTGGTCTGTCCTGCTTGCCTCTCCAGGGGTTTCCCTGATAAGACCCTGCACCTTTATCGTCGGGGTCCCTCTGGGAGGCCCCTGACTAACCAGGTTGCCAAAAGGGCCCAGGGACCATGAACGTGACCCAGGGGCAGACTCAGCAGTGTGCGGCAGGAAACAGCCCTGCAGGAGTCTCCTCTGAAGGCTGCTGTTGGTCTGAGAGGGCTCACACCAGCAACGTGCTGAACGTGGAGCCCAGCTCCACCGCCACCCACGCACCAGGGTGGGGGTGGTCCGGCTCCTGCGGTGCCGCTGTGACCGACTCACCTGGTCGCGCTGCTGGATTCGCTTGTAAACGTATTCGGCAAATGGTCGGCGTGGGATAAACTTCCCGTGTCCCGGTGTGACGCTGAGGGCCCCCTCCTCATACACCACTTTGCCCCTTGAGATCGTCACCAGCGGCACCCCGTGGCACACCATGCCCTCGAAGATGTTGAAGTTCACGGCCTGATGGTGAGTCTTAGCCGAGATGGTCCTGGATATGGAAAAAACAAACAAAAAGCCGCAGGTCATCGCTGGCTCGTGTGACAAGCATGAAGTGTTAACGGAAGAAGGCTGGAAGGGACGTCACCGCTCTGTTAAGCCAGGGCTTCGTCACTGTGCCCAGCGAGGACGTTAAGAATAGAGCGTGGCCATTTCATTGCTGGTCACTGCACTTCCCAGGGAGGCGGAAGAGACGGCTCTGCTGTGCTGCGTGAGGACAGAGGGGCGGGAGAGGGCACTGTCTGTCATGCGGAGGCTTTCAAGTTGTTTTTATGTGCCAAAGGGCATCACATGTGCTCAGGCTGCGATTATCAAATCTCCTCAGCAGGGGGAGCCCCTGAATCCCCGCCGCAGCACTTGACAGCTGCCTTCCCAGAGCAACACGCGACAATCGCTGCGCAGAGGCCCGGCGTTACCAAGGAGAACTGCACCTGGAGTCCCTCCCCGACCCGTGTCCATGGCAAAATTGGAAAATTGAGGCTAGAACGAATAAGCAAATACATTAGCATTTAATCTCTTAGCATACTCGATACAGGGATTGCCATACTCCCCATCTCTCGGTAGCTTAGCTTTATCTGTACCTCTGATAGTTACAGACACACTTGTGTGCGTTTACCGTGGACAGTATGATCTTGTGAAGTTGTAAAAACTGCAGAATGACTAAGGCTGGCTAACTGGCCTCACGGTGTTCCCATTTCTGTGATGTGAATGCTTCATCTCCATCCTCCTGGCATTTTTCAGGAACACCATAGATTAAAGTCCACACGCTGTGCAGCAGAGCTCTGGACGCGCTCCTCCCG